AGCTTGTTCTAAGTAGGTGCTTTAGACCACTGAGCCATCTCACCAGCCCCGGTTTTTGGTTTTTTTGAAACAAAGTTTCACCAGGTAGTCCAAGCTGGCCTCGAATTTGAAGCAATCCTGCCTCAGCCTTCTGAGTGCTGAGATTACAGGCATGTGCCACCTCAGACAGCTTTATTGTTTGAGACAGGGTCTTCCTAAATTGCCCAGGCAGGTCTTAAGCTTGCCATCCTCCTGTGTCATCCTCCCAGAATGCTGCAATTACAGGGGTGATGGATTGCTAACTGGTGGTCTACTTGTTACACCCAGCTGAACTGAACTAGTGTGGTGCTGGGTTTGGGAGGCCCACCTGAGCATTGTTGCCAGCAGCCTAAGAGGCAGAACTGAAGAAGCTGTCTTGGGAGGCTGTTGGGGAAGCTGTTTGGAGAAGCTCTTGAGAGCTGTTCGGGAACTGTTCTCCTGGGCTGTTGTGTTGGGTGACCCTGTCATGCTGGCTTTCCTGATGAACTTGGCTATTCTCATCAGAAGAGGAGCTTGGGACTTGTCACTGAGAATGAATATGGTTCATTTTGGGGGAGCTCTGGGCCTCATCTTGAGCATCACTTCCTGGCTCCAAGGGGAAGATGGTGCACAACTCAGTCTCCTGGAGGAGCTCATCATGTTGGTTTTCCTGATTGCAACTCAACTCTCATTGCTGGAGGAGCTCAGGACCTCACTTGTTGAGGATGGGTGGGATACCTTTTTGGGGAGCTCTGGTTCTTACCTTGAGTGTTGCTTCCTCTCTTCAGTTCACAGTTCCCAGCCTTCTAGCACAGATCCTTCACCCCACTGGCATAGACTTTTTTTTTTTTTTTAATTTTACTTAGTGTGTGTGTGTGTGTGTGTGTGGCCAGCTCAGCCCACCAGGGGGCGGGGCAGGCTGGCATGTGGTGCTGGGGGATTGAACCAGGGTCCCTGTGCTTTGCTGAGCTTGTTCTAAGTAGGTGCTTTAGACCACTGAGCCATCTCACCAGCCCCTGGCATAGACTTTGTATTTTAATTTTATTTTTTTTATTTTTTGGCAGAACTAGGGATTGAACTCAGACCCTTGTGCTTGCCAGGGAAGCGCTCATTCCACTGAGCCATCTCCCCGGCCCTGTGGCATAGACTTTTTAGCTTCCACCACTGACCTTTGGGACTTCCTAGAGTAGATCCATGAATTGGGCCTGCATGAGACATTGTCATGGGCTCCAGGCCTCCAATTGAGCTTGTGGCAGGTGTTGTTATGAGCTCTAGGTCTTCAGCTGGACTCATACAAGATATTAGGATCCAGGCCCTCAGCTGGATTCTTCTGTCTTTAGTGTGTGGACAGATTTCTTGTATTCCTTGTATATGATTCTTGGAGTGATTCATTATAAAATAATCTTATAAAATATATCCTGGGGGCCAAGGAGATAGCTTATAGAACAAGTGCTTGCCTGGCAAGTTCAAGGGCCTGAGTTCAATCACCAGTTCTGCCAAAAAAAATAGTACTGTCAGTGTTTTTAGGGCCAGGGAGA